GTTCCACAGTTAAAAATCACAGCAAAACCTCTGACTGCTGTCAATACTGTGAATTAACTTACCTCGCTCAAGTACTGTTTTTTCCTTCTTCTTTCCCATTCTCCCTGGTTCTTTTAGTATTTCACTCTTGCACCTTACTTTAGGTCAGCCATTACTGGAACGTTTAGCCTGCTACCAAGGCAAAGCTATAGCGGCTTCCCCCTGTTTCCAGTATTTATGCTAAGCTAAGCTAACCAGCTGCTGGCTGTTGGCTTTGTGGTATCAATCTTCTCATCTAACTCTCAGCAAGAAAGCAAATAACCATAGAAATATCAAGCTATTCCTAAAAAAGTTGAGTAGAGTTGGCTTTTGGCCATTTATTTTAACAAAGGAGCTAAATAAATATAAAAATAAAAGGCTAAATCTCTAGCTAATCTGGTAATAAAATCAAGTCCCTCTTTTTAAGCACCGCAGCTGTCACTAACAGCTTTGTCATCCCTCCTCCTAAAAAAAAAAAAAAGACTTGCATTGCTTTTGAAATAGCAGGTGCTGAAGTTGGCATCAAATTTAAAAAAAAAATCCTGGAGGCCTGCTCCAGTATTGAAAGGACCAATGAGATTTCCACAGTGAGGGGGAAAGTGCTGGAGCACTCCCAACTGTAAGGAGTATTTGAAGCTTCTTGGAATGAGGTGAGAGACATGTGTTTGACGTGTTGGACTGGCAATACATAGTCTATATAATTATATCTACAGAGTGCTGGAAGTAGAGAGGAACAGACTGGCTAATATAAAGAGAGGTGAAGAAAGAACATTCCCATGGTGCAGTAGTGGTGATACTTTACATTGCCAATGGATAATGTGGCATGTAAGTGAAAATGTGAGTCACAAATTTTATTCTTTTAACACGACACTGGCCAGTATTAAAGAGACACCATTCACATCAGACAGTTGTTAACGCTGTCCACTAAAGTGACATTTCATAGCAAGGAACGACAGCAAAATATCTCCTCCCTGACTGAATTTGCTTCTGAAGACTGTGCTATGGGAAAAAACGAAAAATGGTCTTAGCAAAGATTAAGTGACAAGCAGCCGCAGAGAGTGGATAGTTAAGGAAGAAGACAGAGTGAGACAGAAAGCCATACACGTTAGATGAGGTAATGCTAAATCTCTATCTCACCGCTGACAGACAAAAGTGACAGTAATACGAGGTGAATTTGCATAGCAGATGTTCCCCTACGCAGGGCTGGATTTATTGGACTAGCAAACACTGGGATGGCTACGTGCCATCTGTCATACAGCAGCAGCAGATAAATTAAAAGTAACAGCTGTGAGTATACTGTGGAGGTAAGGGCAAGTTATAGCATCTCGCTCAGAGGAGGAAGAGATGTGTGTTAGGGAGGTTATTCCCTTCGGGAAGTCGGATGAGGAGATGGAAACGAGAGAGAGAGAGAGAAGGAAAAAAGCAGAACTGTGGAGAAAGAGGAAGGCAGGCAGACGGAGAAACAATTTCAGAGGCGCGTTCATTCCCAGTTATCGGCTGTTTATCATTTGTATTCTAGATTTGTCAAAAAGAGGCTAGCAGCTGCATATTGCCATTGCCACTGTGACCGTATGAGCCCACGTATGATTTGTTTGTGCTCGCACAGGTGGCAAGAATTACACTTTTCACTTCATCATGTATTCATTTTAAGAGCCATTTCTTATCAGAAAACATTGCCTTTGTAGAAGCATAATTTGTATGTAGTCATTGTGTGTAGAAATCAATCCTTTGTTTCTTTCTTTCGCTGAAGTCAGTCTTCTGTCTTCTCTGCTCTCTTTGGCTTTGTACCTAACGATTTTCTCTTAATTCCACAACAGCCTGTGGCTCTTGTTAGAACAACATTAAGAATTAATGTGTTCATCATGACATGAGCATCAAAGTATTGTGGTCCAGGGGCTAAACCCAGACTTCACTGCATTCCATTGTGTTAAATCAAACTTTTTTTCTCCACAGGGCTGCTCAGACAATGGTGCATACACTAAGCACAATATATGCTGGATGTGAGTACAGATGCTGTAAATATAATGCACTAATAACTTTTAATCATGGGTTATATATGGGATATCCCAACATTTCAAAAAGCTTTCTGTCTGAGTGTTAAGGAGATGAGAGGGCAGTTAAAGATGAAGCAAAACATCATTAAAGTCACCAGATAATCTTCAGATTTGTCTCAAATAAACCTCAAGTACAGCTTCTCATTACTTCTGGTTTACTATATTATGTTGTGCATTGGACTTATTATAGAAATGATCATTAGTGCATCAGCCTAAAAGCCTATTACACTTATAGTTTGCATCTCTGGATGTAATGTGTTGTAACTATTATTGCTACACATTATGAATGTGTCCAAAATGTGTTTTTGTTTGAGTTTTTATGTAAAAAAAAAAAAGATTTCTACTAATGCATGTTGCACTGAGATGGCTAGCTCAGTGTCTACTGGGTAATATTTGCCCCAAACATACTGATGTTGATATTTGAGAGTTAAAGTTGAACTAATCAATACTTCTATACTAACAATGGGTCAAATGGCTATGGGTAATGTGAAAGGTAAAGTAAATAGTAAATCCACTGAGAATTATCACCCGCCCTGAGCTCTACCTTAGTGTCTTTGAGCTCATTGTTTTGGTTTTCTGGCCTGCAACTTCACTGTTTTGGTTCAGGCTCACCACTCTAATGTATTGTTTCCAGCCATGTAGATTTTTTGCAGAGACATAAAATAAATGTATGTGAAGCTATTCTGGAGTTTAAACAAATTACATATACAAGATAATTTTGACTTATTTTTCAGTAAAACAAAGCTCATTATGAACCCATTATACCGTACCTGCCCAGCACCAAAAAGCAACCAGACAAAATTAGCAGCTAGCTGGTGAACATAATGGAGCAACTTTAAAGGCCCACTGTGTAACATTTAGGAGGATCTATTGGTAGAAATGGAATATAATATTCAAAATATTCAAAATATTCAAAGGTATGTTTTCATTAGTTTCTCACTTTTGAACGACCAGTTTTTATCTACAGAGGGAGTGGATCCTCTTCTCCACTTATATATTTGTAGCAAACGCACTGGTTCACTTTAGAGCTACATGATATGGTAAAATAATCATATTGCGATGATTTAGGCAGATATTATGTCATTTCAGATATCATTTCAATATGATTCATGATTAGTGGGAATTATCATTTTTGCATCACAATTTTTATTTTTACTGGTTCCGAAAACACGTGTTCTTACTCCTGGAGAACAAGATCTGTAGGCTAGGAAAATGTAGTACTGCAGCACTACAGTACTACATTATAATGCTGTTTTTATAATTGTAGCTTCTGCAAACATTGCACTTGGCCATATTATGATTTTGACAATATTTTGATTAACTGTGCGGCCCTTGAGTTAGCAACACACAACTGGTTCCACAGCACAATTCTGTTTCACGTGGAAACGCTCAAATAACAAAAAAAAAAAAAACGAGCGAGGTGCTCCACGAGGCATTACGGAAACTTGAGAACATGACGCGAGGAGCAGTTAATGTCTCAGTCGAACGGTATGTGTTAGATGAAACCATACAGAGCCTTGTTCATGCTGGGATCTACAGTGGGGCTGAGGGAAAGCAGTTACCAATAAGTTCTAGGTGCTGCGGGGGCTATTCTGGGGTGCGGTGTGCCGACCCACTTCGTCAGCAGAACATACAACAGAACTAAGATCAGCGGACAACAGCACCACACACGACACGCACACACACACACACACCACTCTTGAAATAACACAGTGCAGGTTTAGAGTCACACCTGCTTCAAACCACAAATTGCCCCCCGTAATCATCATCTGTCTCTTTGTTGTATAGTCGGTCCCTTTACACAAGCCACAGTGAGTCCTGGCTTCTGGAGAAACACCTGGCATTAGCTTACTTAATGTGTTGCCTATAACCAATAACGACTCTTTGTAAAAAACAACAATGACCATGCCAAGGCACAGTGTTGATTGGTTGTAAAGCAGTCCAGATTTCTTCTTTGTACGAGCAAAACACGGAGAAACTGTGGATAAAGTGCTCAAGCTGTTGTGGAATTATGTAACTTGATGGATTATACCAGTGGTTATTAATTTTACCTATAAACTACTTTCCATTAGTACTCTCCATTATCCAAACCATGCCATATGGATTTTAGATTGATTTCCTTTCTGTTCGGCAGCTTGTCCATCCATTTTGTCACAGCATGAAAATCAACTTGCGGCGCTTGAAACTACCACAACTAACCTTTCCTCACCTTCATTTTTTGGTCAAGACACCAATATGAGTGAGCAGGGACTGATGTGAACTGTGCCTTTGTTGTTGCTTTTAGGTCACGACATCTGAGACTTGAGTGTAGACTTCCAAACTGCTTTTTATTGTTTTTTGAATGATCATTCACATGGTCCTTTTACTTATTGTTTTTCTTTTTGGTTTTCCAACATGCTTTAATTAAATTAATGCTTAAAACTAGTTTTTTGGTAGTTGAATTTGAAATCTTGAATTCTTAAGCTTTGTCATGTGAGGTCATTTAAATGTCCAGTGTGCAATTTAGCAGGATTTACTAGCACAAATGGAATACAATATGCATAACT